GGAGGAAAAAGAAAAACCATAGAGTAAGGTCGTCTCTGGGTTTTATACTCTTGTCACCATAGGCCACTCCATAACTTACATTTCCTCAGCCTTGTTTTCTCCTATAAAATGGGGGACAATATTTGTGTCTCCCTCATCGGGTTGAAAGAAGCAGAATAAAAATTATGGGTTCAGGATGCTTGGCCCACCACTTTTGTAATACAGCAGGCATAGTAGCTGGTCGTTCTTTCTGACTTTCTCTGTCTCAAGGACACCTTTGTATCATGCAAACTTCACCCTATTGGTCCCTGGGCAGAAGACCACTACACACAAGAAACAGAGAAAGACAGACATAGAAAGAAAGGAAGAAGGAGAGAGATTTCTTTGCTAATATATGTATGCTCTGGAGTGCTTGCTTTATTGCTGTGATGAATTCTGAAGTTTAAAATCAATGTGCCTTAGGGCTGGGGTTGTAGCTCACTTGAGACAGTGCTTGCCTAGTTATGATCCCAGTACCACCTAGGGACAGACATGGTGACACAGCCTACAAAACCAGCACCTGGTATGTGGAGGCAGGAAGACCAATGAGTTCAAGGCCAACCTAGGCTACCTAATAGCCTGTCTCAAGAGATGTCCTTTGCTATTCTGTAGATAATAAAAGCAGTGGCAGCTGGCATTTATGTGACCATTTCCAGCTTACAGAGCATTCTGACACCACAGCATAGATAACACCCCCATGAGACAGAGATGGCATTCCTATCTTATCTCTGAGTGAGTCTTTCTACTTCCTCAGATCTCACAGACACATTCCAGGCCCCAGGCTGCACCTGTCATAGATATCAGGCCCAGCTTAGGCAGCTGTGATGTTTTCCTATTTCCCAGAGCATTGCCCACTTCCTGAAGATCCTGCTTGGTGTTGGATTTGGGAAATGAACTTTCCTTTCATGCTGCTCATTGTTCTTAAGGAAAAGCTTCTCATTTATGGCCCAGGGGGAGTCAGTTAGCATTAACTGGGAGTTTACAGGGCTCTAGTTTACCTAATAGATGTACTGGGAGACCAGGTGACTGCTTCTAGTCCTGACACCAAATCAGATGTCCTCACACAAGCACACAAAGTTCAGAATTCACAAAGCAAGAAAGGACAAAGGACAAAGTCACTACAGTTCAAGTTTAAAGATCTAGGTTGGCTTTATTTTCTTTTCTAGAATCATCAACAGTTTAACCCATAAAACAGAATGGTTTTCGCAAAAGGGACAAGCAGGAGAGGTTGGTTCACGGGCAGAGAAGGGCTGACAAAGGGAAGAACTTGGGGGAGTCCACAATGATTCCATTCCATTTTGACCTAAGGTCAGAGAGTTCAAGCTTGTTCTTGCTCCTCAAGGGTAAATAACAGGATGTTTGGTCAAAGGTATGGTTACTTGATGCTTTGAGAATTAAGGAGGTGATTATGCATGTCCTTGAATCATGGTAAGGAAGTCCTTTGCCCTCCCCTTTTGCTTTGGGTATAAAAGAGTTATGAGAAATAAATTTAAAGTTGCTGCAGTATTCACCGAGAGCCTCCCGATTCTATCTTCTGTCTTTTGTCTCTTTTTTTCTCAATCTTCACTCCCCTTTTTAGGCATGTTTGGATAGGTCAGCTGCCCCCACAGAAACTAAGACCAAATTTCAAAGGCTTCCCATGCATGGCCACATGGCAAACACCCAGGACAACCGAGAAGTAGCCTGTTAGCATCAGGTGACCCTTTTAATGTGAGGATCAAGGGAGAAGCACTAAGAAGTCTGTTGTCACCCCTGTGGAAACTAGCCTGTTAAGTTTTTCCTGGTTTCTTTGCTTTTTTTCCCTGTTTTTTTTTTTTTTAAATTTAAATTAGAAACAATCTTCTTTTACATGTCAATCCCAGTTCCCTCTCCCCCCTCTCTTCCCCTGTACCCCTTCCCCCCTATCCCAACCCCTTTCTGCTCCCTAGGGAGGGTGAGACCTTCCATGGGGAATCTTCAAAGTCTGTCATATCATTTGCAGCAGGGTCTAGACCCTCACCAGTGTGTCTAGGCTGAGAGAGTATCCCTCTATGTGGAGTGGGCTCCCAAAGTTCATTTGTTTACTAGGGGTAAATACTGTTCCACTACCAGTGGCCCCATAAATTGCCCAGACCTCCAAACTGGCCTCCTTGTTCAGGGGGGTCTGGAACAGTCCTATGCTGGTTTCCCAGCTATCAGTCTGGAGTCCATGAGCAACCCCTTGTTCAGGTCAGCTGTTTCCCTGGGTTTCTCCAGCCTGGTCTTGACCCCTTTGCTCATCACTCCTCCCTCTCTGCAACTGGATTCCAGGAGTTCAGTTCAGTGTGTAGCTGTGTGTCTCTGATTCTGCTTCCATCAGCTACTGGACGAAGGCTCTAGGATGGCATATAAGGTAGTCATCAATCTCATTATCTGGGAAGGGCATATAAGGTAGCCTCTCCACTATTGCTTAGATTGTTAGTTGGGGTCAACCTTGTAGATCTCTGGACATTTTCCTAGTTCCAGAATTCTCTTTAAACCCATAATGGCTCCCTCTATTATGGTATCTCTTTTCTTGCTCTTGTCTATTCTTCCCCTGACTAGATCTTCCTGCTCCCTCATGTCCTCCTCTCTCCTCCTCCCCTTCTCTTTCTTCTAACTCCCTGTCCCCTCCCCCATGCTCCCAATTAACTTAGGAGATCTTGTCCCTTTCACCTTCTCCGGGGACCATGTATGTCTCTCTTAGAGTCCTCCTTGTTTCCTAACTTCTCTGGCGGTGTGGATTGTAGGCTGGTAATCCTTTACTCTATGTCTAAAATCCATATATGAGTGAGTACATACCATGTTTGTGTTTTCCTGGTATCTTAAACAAAATTAAGTTTTGCCTTGGTGATGTAGAACCCTGGAACTTGTGACTCCATTTTGATTTTTAGTCTATTTTATTGGGGCCAGTGTAAGAATCCACATCATCTAAAACATTGGTTTCCTATAAATTTTATCCAATAGAAATGATCTCTAAAATGTACCCATTTAGGAAGTAGATGGAGAGAAAAGTCCTCCTGTCAGCATGGAATTTTCCTGAGTTCGACATTCCTGTTCTTACTGTCTTTGGCCCCCAGCACTGTGCCTGGCTGCATTAAAATTTTTCTCTTATACTTTTCTCATCTCTGGATTCTGTTTGCTCATGGAATTCTTAACTGTGGTACCCAAGCAAACTTTGTCCAATCCCTGGATGTATCTCTCAGTGAAGTTAAAGAGCATCCTGAACACTTTCCTCTCCTGGACACTGTTTTAAGGCACCCTCGGGGGCTGTGATGTAGCTCAGTTGCAGAGATGTGGCTTTAGTTTCCTGCACACTAATAACAGCCAGCCATAATGTTCACTGGGAACCCCTGGCTGTTGTCATGGAGACATCTGACTTGGACTTCATCACACACACTCTACTTAGGCTAACAAAGCTTGTACGATGATTGGTCAGTGTCTCTCAGTCTTTTCTGCTTCTAGGTTCCTATGCTGGAGCAGTTGTTGCTATGCCACTGGCAGGAGTATTGGTGCAGTACATTGGCTGGGCCTCTGTCTTTTATATTTATGGTGAGTGATTTGGTTTCAAGAATCCATGTGTTGACACACAGAGATATAGTTTACTGTATAAAGGTATATTAAGTGTTTGCTGTGTGAAAATAGAAATACAAAGATAAATTCATTATACAATTAGGAAGCCTGCTTGTGATAAATTTAATACTTAACATTAAACTTGGCATAAAAAAGCAGAATAGTGCCTTCCCTTAAGTCTCAATCAACAAGATGGAAACCAGTAAGATACTTCTCAATGAACATATGCTATCATAAAAATTAACAACTATAGAGACGGAAGGAGATGAGGCCATGCCACTGAGCCTTTTGTTTTCTCATCTGCAGGTATGTTTGGGATTATTTGGTACATATTTTGGCTTCTGCAGGCCTATGAGTGCCCAGCAGCTCACCCAACAATATCCAATGCAGAAAAGACCTACATAGAGACAAGTATAGGAGAAGGGGCCAACTTGGCCAGTCCGAGTGTAAGTACAGATGGAAGGTAAAGGCTGGTCTCTTTCTCACATGTGTTTCTCTCCATGATTGTGTTACTTTCTTGTGGGGGTTCCTGCAAACATTATGACTGGCAGAGCAATGGTCAACAAAAGGCAAGAAGGAAATCCAGTTCAGCACAATCTAGTTAGACATTGCTGGTTCAAATTTGGATAGTCTGACACTGTGCATACTATTTTAGGCATATTTAAGTAAGTATAATTTTTGGAAAAATGGTTCCTGGGAACTGTTATCTTAATACCATGTGCACAATAAAGCTTAAGGTATTGCAAAGTACATGTGATCTCTACCACGAAGATGGGTTCTATGGCTTAAGGGACTAGGATTTGGTGTGGTCTCAGTCATATAGATAATGTAGAGGTCACTGGGCTATAAAGTACAAGTGACATTTCCCATAAGGATGGGTTCTATTGGCTGAGAAACAGTGCTCAAGATAAAAGTCTAGGGAGGGAGAGTCTGGGATAAACATAATAGTCTGGGAGATTTGAGTGATGCCTGGTGCTACAGACAGCACAGGTCACATCCACTCTCAGCCTTCTGGGTGTAAAGCAGGTATAGATATCCCTTCTGTTGAAGAGACAATCCTGTGTGTTTAGCATTCCTGGTTTTCCTTGTGTTTAACTGTGAGCACCAAGACCTTGTGCTCTGTACACCTTCTTACAGAAATAAGATGTCAGTGTCTTCGTTCAAAAGCTCATGGTCTTTTTCACTCCCTAGAAATTCAACACACCATGGAAAAGGTTCTTTACATCCTTGCCTGTCTACGCTATCATTGTGGCAAACTTCTGTAGGAGCTGGACCTTTTATTTGCTCTTAATAAGTCAGCCTGCCTACTTTGAAGAGGTCTTTGGGTTTGCAATAAGTAAGGTAAACATGCAGATGCTTCCAATGTTCTTGAACTTTAACTGTCTTGATCTGACCGAGAATAACTTGACATGATAAAGTAACTAAAATGGCTAACATTCATAAAGTTCTATGACACTTAGCATCCCAGAGGCCAGACAATAGTCTGACTATTTAATTTCTTTTTAGTAAGGATCAAAGATATATTCTTCTGCATTTAAAGATAGTGCCTCTATCTAATCTCAGGGTGCTTCTGAAGTTAATGCAAACACAATATTAGTTCGAAGGTAAAAGTATTTGATGAAGTAGGTTTTTCTCCTTCTAAACTACTCATTATATGGGCTGAAAGGTTGTTCAGCAGGTAAAGGTGTTTATGGTCAAGTCTGACTACTTGGGTTTGGTCCCCCATACTCAGATGGTAGAAGGAATGATTCAGTTCCTGTAAGTTTTCCTCTGACCTCAGCAAGTGTGCTATGACCAGACCCCTTCCCCCAAATAAATAAAGGCAATGAGTTGCTCATTGGGTGCCAGGAAGAACATTGAGGCTGATGTTTCAGACAAGCCCTGTCTTTCATAATGGGGAATGTAGCCATAACAATGGTTGCTTGGGATAGTTTAGGAAGAACCTCTTTCAGTGTCTCCAGCCATTGTCATTAGGTGTTTCAAGGAGGTTTTGATAGTGAAACAAAATAACCATAATGAAACAATAAAGTTTCCATTCTTCAAGCAAAAGAACTGCAGCCAGGCATAGGTAGATGTCTGACTTGCTGCAGGTACTATCAAGCAGAGACTGGAAGAACTAGCATAGTTGTGTGATGGTGGATGCACATGCGTTTTTCATCTGCTGAGCCTTATTCTGGATACTGGGCCTTGTGATGAGTAAGAGTTGTCTCCAGTCCAATGGAACTTTCAGTCAGGTGGGGAAGACAGTTGGTCCATACACAAAATCATCCCCCCATTCATTGTTTAATGATTATGAAGTTCAGACTTCCTAGGATCCCACATTAGATAACTAAACTTGGTAATGGCTGTAGGGCTGTGTAATGGGGGTGAGCAGGGACTTGTAAAAATCTCTCAGAAGAATTTAAGTTGGCTCATTGTTTCTTTTCCTTCCAGGTGGGTCTCTTGTCCGCTGTCCCACACATGGTGATGACAATTGTGGTTCCCATTGGAGGACAACTGGCTGATTGTTTAAGAAGCAGAAAGATCTTAACCACAACTGCTGTCCGAAAGATCATGAATTGTGGAGGTACTGTGCCAAGAGGCTCAAATGGTTTCTGCAGAATTAGAGAAAATGAATTGCATTTTAGAGCAGCCCAGAATTTGTCTCTCATCCAGGTATTGACTCAACCCTTCTTAGCTTGATATTGGGCTCCATCAGGCTCAGTCAAGCTGAGTCTAGACGTTGTAATGAATCTTGAAGCCCTCTGAGTCCATCTCCTTATAGATAGTTGAGTGTTGTCTGCCATATCCTTGCAAAGTGGCTATGTAACCAGTACAATCTGGGGTGAGACAACTTAGTTGGTATCTGATGGGTCAGGTCACACTTAAAACTCAATAAACACTTTTCCCTCTATTCTGAAGCCAAAGTAATATAACTTCTGGTTATGTATCTGCCTGCTATTTATGTTTTCCATGCAGCCTTCCACTTATTATTTACTTACATAGTTTATTTCCTTTTCTTCTTCAATTTATGTGTAATCTAGGTTTGTGTAAAACACAAAGGGCATCACATAAGAAGTCAATGGAACTAGTCACGAACCCCTACAGTGTTGATCACTGTTCACCTTTTCAACCTCTCCATTTTTGCTTAGCTCATCTATGTTTCTTTTTAAGTGTGAGCTTTTGAGCAGCTTTCAGTGCTATGCACTAACCTAGGTCTTCACATGTAGTATCATACTTAATCTTTATCATAACCTTATGGAGTGGGTGCCTCTATGGTATGAAGTTTACAGGTAGAAACAAAAAACTGAGGTGAAATCAAATGACTTCTTTAAGTGGAAGATCCTGTGTAATGTAACAGGTTTGTCTGAGCCCATTGTCCTCTCATCTGCTATCTTTCCAAGGGATTGGTTGAGGGTGACTGAGTGGGCAGTAGAGGAAGCAGCTCCAATAGTTACAAGGTCACGAGTGGGATTTTAAACTGAAGGAAGGTATGGGCATGCTCTGACTCCAGATTAGAGGGGCCAGACCCATTGACAAATGAAGGACTGTAGAGATACAAGAGTTGGGTGAAGTGACTCACACCGTGGTCAGGAGTAAAGAGAGAGCAATGAACAAGATAGGGAACCTGGCATCCCAGGAGTCTATCTGCTGCTTTTCAGGGATTCTTGGATCTGTCCTTTAGTTGAACTGTTATATAAGAGATTGAAGGATGGCAGGGGCAGACCTACCCTCTGGTTGGCAGGAGATGAATATTTGGGGCGTGGCATTCAGGGTCCTCTCTGTTTTCTTACACGACTTTGCAGGTGTGATTAACTTAAGAGTTTTTGTTGAGATGAGAGTCCCGTTTATCACAGGCTGGTCTTAAACTCTCTGTGTTACAGAGGATTGCCTTGAACCCCTGATCCTCCTGCCTCTACCTCCTGAGTGCTGAGATTTTCGACATGCACCACCACACCCAGTTTATGTGGTGCTGGGGATCCAACCCAGGACTCTGTGCTTGTTAGGTGAGCAGTCTACCAACTGAGCTATATCTTCATGCCCAAAATTAAACCGTCTGGAGATGGAGAGAACATCCTACATTAGTTAGGCAGGCCCAGTGTAACTACAAGTTTTCTTAATAGAGGAAGCAGTAAGTCAAGGGTCATGATGGTAGAACTGGGTCAGAGGGATGCAGCTACAAGCTGAGAATCATGAGCAGACTCTAGGAGACAGCAGAGGCAGAGACAGATTCACAATAAACACTACTGTGCTGACTGACAGCTTGCTTTTCTCTCAGAATGGCCCATTTAGGACTTCTGACTTACAGAGCTGTATGATAATAAATGTGTGTTGTTTTGAGCTGTTACATTTATGGTAATTTGTTACATCAGCAACTGGAAGCTAATAAAATAGATACCTCACTGGTCTGTCTCATTCCACACTAGCTCATCTTCGTCCTGGACAGTTGTGCACATATCTGGTGTCTGGGGTGTTGTTCACTCAAATCCTCCTCACAGTGTTTTGCTCACATTCTGTTTTCACTGCACTAGTCTCTACAAGTCATCAAGACTTTAGATATGAATGGCCTCAAAGGACTGTGTGTTGAAGGGTTGGTCCCCAGCCAGTAGCACCATTGAGAAGTGGTTGGATCATGAAGGTACTAATTTCATGAGTAGACAAATCCACAGATGAATAAATTGGATTTTCTTCTGTTTCTGAGTATAGTGTTCCTTTAAGTATTTTCTGCAATGCTAGCATGATTGTCATATTGCCATGTTTGTTTCTATCTTGGTAGCTTCATATTTTTCCATCAATTAAAAAGGTAACTTTGCTGGATATAGCAAGCTTGGTTGGAAATTACTTTCAGGGCTTGGAACATCATCTGATGATTTCCTGGGTTTTAGGTTTGATGGCAAGAAATCTAATGTTATCCTGATGCTTCCACTGGTAGGCAAGTTGACATTTCCTTTTCAGTTTTTAATATCATTTTTTTGCTTGGCAGCTTTGACATCCCTCCTATGACATGATGCAGAGAGATTCTTCTCTGGTCATGTCTGTTTCAGAGTCTAGATATTTCTTGTGACTAGATGCCCATTTCTGCCATAAATTAATCAAATATATTTTCCACTTTTTTTTTCTTTATATCAACTTCTCTTTTTACCATGTGGCTCTTTGGGTTTGGTCTCTTGAATGTATCTTAGAGTTCTTGGGAATTTTGCTCATGCTTACTTAGTTTTGTTTTCTTGCATGTTCTGATGCATTATTGGCTTGTCCCTGACCTTTGTCCCTGACATTTTTTCTTATGCTTGGTCCTGTCTGTTGATGATATTTTCCACTGTGTTTTTCATTTGGCCAATTAATTCATTTGCAACACTTCTGTTTGGTTCTTCTTCAGAATCTCAATTTTATTTCTGAAAATTTCTTCCATGTTTTAAAATGTGCCTTCTAAATTGCCAATAATCCAACTTAGTAACTTTTAAATCTAGGTCCTGAATGCATTTTCTTGCTTCATAATCTGCTTATTTGAGTGTTCCTCACGGTCACTGATCCCTTTTCAAAGTAGGATGAACACACACAATTTTATGTGAAAATAGGATTAAATAAAGTCTTCTGTGGTTCTATAGTTTCTGCTTGGTTGTTTGGCGACCACATGCACACCCACGTGCTACTTCAGTATCTTGTTCTCCTGACTTCCTTTCCTCTCCCATTGTTCCTTTTGGCTGTCTGGCTAGCTCTGGCTTTAATATTCAGAGTTGAAGAGCTAGCATAACTAGTCCAAGGTGGCACGAGTCAGGGTTTTGAGGTAGAATCTAAAGTCAGGATTTCTGACTTTAGATTTAAATACAGTGTAAGCCCTAAATGTGGCTAGGCTGAGGACCAATCAGAGATAGGTAGAAAGAAGTGGGAGGGGCGGTGTGCTTTGGGTTCGCAGGCGTGAGAACAAGAGGAACAGACATTCGGTTGGTTATGTTGCCCGGACATAACTGCAGGAGCGTCGAGTGGAGATGTGTGGATTCAGCAGCTAGTTTCCAGAATGAAGCCTCCACTCTAATTATCCCCGCCCTTTGGGTACTGCAAGTGGTATTTATGTCATCTCTGCCTGCTGCTACATGAACTCTTTCTCTAATGAGAATGCATGTCTTTATAATTGTCTCATCTTTGTTTTTGATGATGCTGGAATCATTTATTCTGGATGAAAAGGACAGAAAGTATGTTTCCCCTACTATACTTTCTGTGCAAGCGTCTCATACTTTTTCAGAGGCCTGAAGACTTGGTGAGAGAGTGAAAGGGGAAATTTTTGACTTATGCTTCACTAGCACTAGGCATTACTTTGTTTTATTTATTTATTTAGTCCTTCCTTTTCCCCAGCAGAGATGGAGTCTAGAGTCTTATGCATGCCAGGTGAGCATTCTACCACTGAGATATCATCAGCCTATCAGCTCCCCTCCCCTC